GAAGTGCCGTCGTGGTCGCTTAAAGCAATGCTGTTGGGTCTTTGAATGGGCTAATTTCTGTTTTACAGTGACTTTGTTCTGGCTACTGCGTGATTGTATGAAGTGTGGCTACCCTTCTAATTTCATCCCTTAGGTCCGAAAGCGCTGGACGTGAACAATATAGTTTTCAAGTTGACTGAGAAGTGCGACGAGGATTTGACATGCGAGGATTTGTTGACATTGATTAGCTAAGCTATTCCATGCATCTCAAGAGACGGCAGTTCTCACTCACACGCTCGTCATAAAAAACAAAAAGTGTGCTTTGTGCCAGTGCCTTAATGCCGCGTCTGTAAAAATTCAATTCCACGCACGTTCTTTCCAGCATTCCAGCACAAAAGACTTGAAGTTTCCAACTAGCTACTAGTAACATCACACAGTGCGTTTATCGACTGAAGACATCGCAGCGTTCGCGCTCATCTGCTCCCGTGTCACTAGGCTTGCTTTTGATGAGGTTTGTGGGTGCTACACTTTTTCGCATAGCGTAATGATATAATATCTCGCATGCTGCTCTTGAGGCCACACGACGCGGGCGAGTTTTCTGCACAGCGTAAACCATCAACCGCATATCGCGCTACACAATACAACATGCAATGCATGCAAGTACTGGGACGAGCACTGTGCAGAATGGCTCGAGTATTACTGCTGTGTCCGCAGCCGGAAAGGCCCGAAAATGCCGGGGTCGTGAAAAGCCCCAAAACGCTGGGCACATGATTCCGCTTAGAACTCAGTAGGCTTACACAGAACTATGAACATCTCAACATATCAGCGGTAGGGGTAGCGGCAGTAGCTCCAAGAATGAGAAGCAACGGCTAAATAACGACAGCCACAATCATGAATACTAACCTTAATAAGCCGTAGTTATATGGATTGTCCCACTACTCGCTGCTACCACCAACTCAATACTGAAGATACTACGACAATAATGATGAGAGTGGTGAAATCGAACGGGGTAGTACCAGCATCAAGTTCCCCAGTGTTACTAATGAGAATCACGATAATGAGGTCTCATAGCAATAAGAAAAACGGGGGGGCCTACGGACTGGCACCTTCGGAAGCTCAGGACCATTGACTCCGAGTTTGTCAGCAGGGCATTCCGTGAGCGATTGTGAAATTCCATCACGCCCGCCAGGACCAAAATGAAAGCCAGTACCTGACGGCTAGCAAAGGCTTCCCAGACTTTCACACGAGTGTTTGGCAAGTTCATGTGCTAAACGGGCGACATGTTGAGTAGAAAAGCTCACCGATGGGGGTGGTGCCGATGCGGGACACTCTGTACTGAGTTGCTCTCTTGGTTTGGTACAGCTTCTCCGGACTGTAGATTTGAAGCACGAAGCACGATGGAGAACCAATTGAGATGCTGGCATGCAGTGCAGTCTCACGTGCAAAAGCTAATAGCAGGACAAACAACTCGCCATGACAGCTTGTGGAAGCCAAGACACGGTGAGCTGATGAAGACAGGAAATGTGCAGAGAAGCGGGATCTCGCTTCCAAGCATTCCACGCTTCCAGCAAGCTTAGCAACGATTGAGCAGGAACTCCAATTTGAAAATTTACAAAAAAGGTGGCCACAGCAAACCGCACAGAAATGGTTACGTTCTGAAGGATGAGAGCATTCTGGCAGTCGCCGGGAAAGCCATGGATCCACAGGCCGACCATAACATACATCACCTTGCAATGCTTCAAAATCCAAGCTGAAGACTAAAGACTCTACCTGTGCCCCTGGAATGTGCTTCCATGTTGAAAAACACGAAACCACAAGCCCTTCTTGCAAAGCTAGGTTACAAGAACAAAGAGCCTACATCTCGTTCTGTTCAACTGCACAGTGCCAGAGCTGATAATCAGATGCATAAACCATGCAGACATAGAAATCACCAAAGGCCACCGAGAGTGTGCGTTGTCGTTCCATTGCAAGTGCAACATTTGCCCGAAGGTACAGATTGCCGCGATGTGCATGCAAGCCCTGGAGGAGCAGCGGTACTGTTTGATACGGGCATCCCAGAGAGCGCGGTCCAAACGTTCATTGGACTTGTGCCCATCCAGCCCATCCCACACAGCCGTGGCCACACAACGTAGAATCACAATAATTTCCTGAAGCATAATGGGACAGGGTCCGATCGGTTTGGTGATTGTCACAAACATCCGTCCTTTGGAAACCTGGTCCCCCAACACCCAAAACATAGGCATGCGGCATCCCGTATATCCAACAATCGTTCGGCCAGAAAAAATCTTGCTGAGCAACTGGCAAGATTCATACCCAAAAACACAGCAGTGAGACACGAGCAATGCAGCTCCTGTGGTCGTCAGCGCTCCAGCCAGATCCATCATGATCAAAGCAATTACGCGCAGAGCTTCTTGAGCCAGATCGGAGCGAAACACAGAAACGACCGTAAGATTTATCTGTAAAAACAAGTATATGTGCTGCTGCCCGCGTCTGGTGGGATCGCAGTTGGTGGGGGCAGCTAGGCTGCGCGATGCAGCACGCCTTGGCTTCCACGCTCCTTGGAGGTGTCCGGCGAGCACCAGCGGGAAAAACATATATATATATATATATCTATCTATCTATCTATCTATATATATATATAGAGTTTATTCTATATATTATATATTATATATATTATATATATTATATTATATATAATATATTATATATATATTATATATATTACGTATTTTATATTATATATATATTTTTATTATATTATATTATATTATATTATATTATATTATATTATATTATACATATATGTATATAATACATATGACATATGCGTGTCTCTCCCTGGGTCCCTACCTATCTCTGTATCCATCTATCTATCTATCTATCTCCATCTATCTCCCTCTATCTATCTATCTGTCTATCTATCTATCTACCTATGACACTGGTCACTAGCATCATCATCTACCACCATCATAGCTCCGTGAACTTTTGATGCTCATCCGAAGCTCAGCTGGCTGCCTCGGCGAGCGTGTGTCTCGTTGGCGTGTCTTTGCACTGTCTGCGCCCGCCCATGGCAAACAAACATCTCGCGGGCTTTGCTAAGAATGACAACGAAATTGCCCAGCAATACCCCTCTCAGCCTATGAGCCGGTGACTACTACGACTAAATTAGTGTTGCCTCGAACAGCTGCCAGTAGGGCTCTTGAGCAGGAAGTACAAGTCTCATCCGACATGCACATAGTATGCGATAGTATGTGCCAGTTGCGCTGGAAAGGTATCAATGCTTTTCTGCGGGCAAGGAATCTGCATCATTCAGGCTCTCAAAACAACAAGTCCTGGCGGAAGACGGCAGTGTGATTCTCGAGAAATTCCTGGAAAGATGGCTTGCAGTCGGACTTGTCGGCCAAATGGTCAAACATTCCCAGCGCAAATTTCCGCAGCTCCTTGGATGGACATGCTGGCGGCATTCATCGAAACATGAGGCTGACGCAGTCAAGGTGCTTCAGCTGCTTCATAGTTTGTCTCCAAGCCGAGTTCGCCCAAGCAGTAGAGCTCCGCTAAGTGCATGCATGCGAGCGGGTGGCCCTTGCGAGCGATTGCACGGAGCCACTCCACGGCACCTGGATCTCCTTCCTCGCGCAAGCGCAGGGCGAACTCCAGCATCACTTGACCATCGTCCTTCCGCTTGGCCAGAACCTCCAAAGAGATACGATCTTCCGAAACATTACCAGCGGAAATCACTGGATGAGAGAGACAGTCTTGAACACGATATCGTCCCACGAGCTCGTCTTTGATCGTGTAGGTAGATCCGTGGTTGGTGTTGCCGGGCTTTTGCCAGGTCATGTAGAACAAACGTCTTCGCGAACCACCAGACGGCACTTCCAGGTTGGCACCCCCGCAGTGCAGCAGCCGGGAATTCATCAAGACTGCTGAGCCAACTGGACACGTTGCGGGCATGCCACCTCCAAACTGCTCTGGAGACCGATCTGCCCCCGGCAGGACAGAGAGCCACTGCTGCAAATAGGGATCATCATGTGTGCCAGGAAAAAGGATGGTGGGCCCCATCTCCTCCGAAATGTCTTGCAATGCAATGAAAACGGTCAAGAGTGGAGCACACGCGGTCTTCCAGCCACCAGTGTCCACATGCACGTTTTGCCTCGGTGCACCAGGGTCTGTGATCAAACACGAGAGTTCCACCAATGCCCCCTCAGCTTCAACAGTTCCATTCAACAGAGAGCCAAGAGCTAGCACTGCCTGGTGCAGAGCTTCCTCCACAATTGAATTCAATGGCAGCTTCAGGTCCCAGCGCTGCTGGCGGTCACGCACGGTACCGAAATGCTCTTTCAGAAGGCCTTGACGAAGGTCATCCGACTCACATTCGATCTCATGCTGCACCCTGTCCAACTGGCTGTCCACGAACGTGAGCAAACGCTGGCAAACATCAGCGGTAAGCACACCCCGAACTATGCCACAACCATGCTGCTCCAAGTGCGCGACACAGCTCTGAGGAGCTAGCTGAAGATCATCGCAAGTCATGGGATCAAGTGCTTCCCAAGTCAAAGGTTGAAGCCGTGGAATCTCGACACGACACCTGCAGCCGCAAGGGCCCGCGCATTCATCTGTACAGTTTCTTGCATCGGAGACAAGCTCAGTGCAGGCTCCCTTTGGCAGCGACAAGAACTCAGAATAGTCTGCCATTGCGTTGTTCGGCTGGAACTACATAAACGGCTCAGCCAACACACAGAAACCAGTTATCTTCCACTCAATGTTCTCATACCTAGATCTTAGATGTGCAAGTGCTAGTTAATCGACTACAACCAACGAACTTTCGAAGTACCAGCCAGACATGTCATCACGTGCCTCTTGTTGACAACCATTGTCTTCACATCTGGCTTTGAGCACGGCCGTGGATAAAAATCAGACGCTCGCGACGATGCAGACCATCCTTTCAAACCTTCTGCTTGCAGCAAGGCAACACAAAATATATTCTGTGCTGCGGCTCACAGGCGTGTGCCGGTACATCTTCCGGGGCAAGACTGAGCAAGGTGCAAAAACACAACGCCTGTTTCGTCACATTTTCTGTGCAAACCATTTTGTTTTTGCGAAGCAGCATTGATGCAACTCTGGGAATGGGCAACCTTCAGCATCCTTCCCGACAGGAACAAAAAAAAGCTCGAAAGCAACCACTTTGTGGGCAGTCTTCGCTCTTACAGATGGAGAGTGGGATTTCCCCTCCCCACAGGGACTGTTATGGGCACCAAACAGGCTCAGAGAATCCACCGTGGGTGGTCCGTGGCCTTGAAAACATGCATTCGGGATGGGCCATAGAAGCAATGTCAGAGCCCTTGGCTCTGTGCACAACTTTGGGCAAGAGCGCCTTCAAAGGACGCTGGTAAGGTTCACTGAAGGTGCGGCGTAGGCGACGCTCCTCCTCCTCGGAAGCTCTCTGCCAAAGGTCTCGGTCTCGCCCTGCGCTTAGAGCCTTCAAGGCCTTGGCTTCAGGTGGCCCGGGCCGCGCCTGAAGCCGTGCCTTGCCTGCCGTCGTTTGCACGAGTCCTCTTCGCACAAAGAGATCCAAGCTGCGCAGGGTCAGACCCTTCTCCGTGCCGCCTGGCACGTCCTGGCCCGGGCCTGGAACCTCCTTGACGGCAGATACAAAGGGCTTGAAAGGCATCCACGCACGCATTGTCACCAGGCGTCTGCAATGCTTCTGAATGGTCAGTGGTAGAGGTGTCTCGCAAAGGTTCAGCTTGGCACCCTTCAAAGAAGAAGGGAGCACTTGCACCAAGTGGCCAACAGATGCTTCTGAAATATTCTGACAGCCGTGGAAGCTGATGTGCATTACACAAAGGTCAGGCATGGATTTCACTCGATTTGCCAAGGACTCGATGCTTTCATCCGAGATGTTGCAGAAGGCGAAGTCAAGCTTCAGAAGTGTGACAGGTGGCAAGCCCTCTAGAATGGCAACCACACCTGAATCAGTAATGGACTTGCACCCCTTCAGTAATAAAAGAAAATGTTTTAAGCTACAGAGGTCATTCAGCATCTCGGCCAAGGCCAACAAGCTCTTGTCACTCAAATATTCCACCACGGACAAATCCAGATCCAAAAACCTGGATTTGAAGCGACGGTTGTGAAGTGCTAGTTTCGGCTAGTCCGACTAGATATGGCCAGTTGCAGGGAAGAATAATCAAACTCACAGCAGGTTAAAGCTCTCCTGTGCAGGGCAGCAAGCTTCAGTGACTGAACGCTGCGAATGCCTCGACACAAGCTTGCCAGGCTGCGGATCTCAGAGTTACAAGCCAAATTCAAATGCAAAGAAGTCAGGCCGGCAGGAAGTGAGTTGGACAAGGCATCCACACCTCCCTGTCCAATACCAGAGCACAACCTCAGCATCTGACCCTGCGCCATGAATCCGAGAGAACTTAAAATGCCACGGACGACAAATGCAATCACATGTGAGTCGGGACGCTTGAAATTCAGCCTCAGGGTCCGGAGCTTGGCCGGCAAACATTTCGCTACATCTTCCATGCCTTTTGCGGTGATATGGGGGCACATGCAGAAGTTCAAGTCCACGAGTGCCAGGTGCTTGTGCATTGAACGAGCAAGTGCTGCCATGTGGGCATCGTCGATTCGTGATGCACAAAAGCTCAATTCAATGCAATCTCTGGCTGCATTTGCCCGGATGCAGTCTGCTAAAGCCGTTCGCGTGCGTTGGAGCTTTCCACTCTCCGTCTCCAGCACAGGGAACCACAGCATCGAGGCGAAGAAAGCGCGCAGCTTAATGTTCATTTTCTCCTTAGCTGACATGCAGCAGAAGCAGGCACAGCCGAAAAGCTCTGATTGAAGCATGGCATGTGCGGTTTAGTTCAAGACTCCAAGAGCCGATGAAGCGGCACAGAACCGATTTCCACGCCTCGTTCTTCCAACAGCTTGTAGAGGATGCGGTTGCGGTCCAACTTGCTCGAAGCATCGGATCTCTCAAGGCCAATGTCAAGGGCAGCTAGAAGAATTTCCTGAGTGGATCAAGAACTTTTGATTGAGCGAAAAAGTTTCAGTACGTATTCCATGCCAGGTTTCTGCCGGAAATGTCTGCTCTCGCTGGCTCTTCTGCTTAAAGCCAGCTCCAGGATTCTGGTGTTCAGTTTTGCGCTCCACTTCTGTCAGATGCTCAGTCAACAGTTTCACACCTTCTGGTGAGCATGCAGCCTTAGTTGGCACAGATGCGTGATCAAAGTGCCACACTGCTCACCAGACATCCAACAGCTAAATTCGACGGGTGACGATGTCCATTGCCTGGCGTCGCTCCATTGCCAAAGTGATTTCTAGTAAACACCTGAACCGAAGAATGCATAAGGCATAAGCCAGGTTTTCTGACTGGACTACTGAGCTACGCGGGGCGTGCACATAATATCTGTCAGGATCCAACATCATGTGACTGAAGACCCGTTGTCTCAAGGCCGAACCGCAGCAAAGAGTCCAGGTTCGGCTAAGGGGGACTGAGGAATTGCCCAGGGCCAGCAGTATTCCACGCGATTTGCTCATCGCCTCAGATTAGCATCTGGATGAAGTCTAATACTTCACCGCTCTCCCTGAGAAAGCTGGCCTGTGGTACGTTGTCTGAGCCAAGGCACTTGCCAGGCCGGTGAGCTGTAGATTCTGTCCGGCAACACGTCATCCTGCCCATAGCGATGTGCATAGGCCCATATCCAATATGGGGTGTCATCCGAAAAGTGTCTTGTTCGAAGATGGTGGCGTACACATTGCAGTATGTCTCCGACAGGCTGGCCAAAATAATGGCTCAAATAATACTCTGGCTCCTGCACGGCTTGAAAGACTCTTATGCCCTCCACTGGCTTGTCTAGGCCTTGGTCTTTACGCCTGTCAGATGACCATGCTCTAGCATGCATGCTCTACCGATGTCCGGCTCCTGAATGCAAGTTGCGACCATCTCCACAAATGAACCCTTGTTTGCTTCAGACACCGGCCGCAAAATCCAGTTCACGACGTCGTAGTGATCGAGCCCATGGCTGGTTAAGGGCTGGATCTCCGAGGTAGACAGATCTTGCCATCTGTCGCATGCAGACAACGCATAGCTCCTGCCCCAGCGAGTGAACAGTGACTTCATCTTAAACTTCCCCGACAATAGGCCAACCACATTGGACTGTGCACCCCTAAGCTTGCTAGCCATGGCACAAAACCTCTGTTAACTGGTCGAAGGTAATCGCCCTGTCTTCCGGTGCATCTATTCTGCAACCTTGCCAGCATTAACTTGAAGCTCCGGATGGGTCTTCGCAAACAGATTCAATCTTTCTGGTGACAAGACGCGGCTTGAATACCTCGTCGACAACAATGTCACGTGATGTCGGTCGTTCGGCGAGCGAATCAATTCAATCGCCTCTTGGCGGCGCAGAAGCTTGCCAGCTGCTACCTCACTCTAGCTCTGAGGACAGGTCTGGGCTCTCCATCTCAGCAGGCCTGGGCTGCTCAGGCTTCGAAAAGGAAAGCGCAAACCTTGCCTTCCATGCTTGCAGTTGTAGGGATGTGGCACTGGCACTGTGTCGGGCACATCCCCAGCAGCCATCGGAACCGCTGCAGCTCCCGTGTCAGTCTAATTGTATACCTCTGCGCTACGTGATCTTAAGGAAGTGACCTGGCTTAAAGGCAAGTGTTGCGGGGATCGTGTTGCATCCGATGGAACAAGTTCAGAACAAGGACGACGAGTTCAAGAGCCACCAACCCTGCTGCGATCGGCTGCTCCTTCTGCACTACCCTGGGACATGCTTGATTCGATGATATGGACCTTCGAAAACTTTGTTTGACCAAGGTCAGCAACAAGCAGTGCCTGCCAGTGTATCTACGTTCTGCTACCTTGCATTGCTTCGCAAGGCAAGTAGAGGTATCCAAACAAAGACAGCCTTCTCTGCATGTTGATCATTCAGCTGTTCAGCCGGCAGGCACCTTGTCTGCGCGCCGTTTCGGTGCCGGGCTATCTCGGACGACTTTGGCGTCCACAGCGCTGCGATCAATCTCGGCCCAGCCGTTTAGTACTCCTGCCAGGTATGGCCTCAGGAAGACCAAGCAACATTGAAACTGGTACTAGTGCCAGCATTGACTCGACATGAACCCAACAGAGGCGTGACTTGATCCAGACACGAAGCGTGGCCAGCACAGGCTGCAGAGGTTCTCCAGAACTTGTCGCCGTCGCGGTGCTAAGCAGGTTCTCTCTCGGCGGAAGGGTTTGCAAAGCTGGACCTCTCGATCCGTCCTCCATCACCATCTCGGGCATGGACATCCCTGAGGCGTGTGCTGTCTCTTGCCACGAAGGGCGACTCCAGGAAACTGGGCGGTCTTGCCAAGGAATGCCAAGCAAGTCATCAACATACTCATCCAACAAGCCATAGGCTTCAGTGTCTTGTGATGCCCCGTCTACCAAAGGCTTGGGTGACTCTGCGCTGTGCTGCGTTCCACCCCTCAGCTCTGCAGGACCAGATGGATCAGGTCGTGCAGCTGGACTCGTGGCCGTCAGCAAAGCCTTCCAATTGTCATCGCCTGTCAAGCAGCTCTACAAGGTTCGCGTGATCCTCTCACACACACAGCTACCCCTCTATCTACCAGTGCTTATCTGCTCGAGGCCTTCCGGATCCTTGTTCGGGACGTTCGTCGCCGAAGCTTGCGGGAGGTGGGAGGTGCCGCATGCCAGGCCTGATTCAAACAGAAGGGCAGGTTGGTTACCTCCACAAGCACTCCAGTCGACCCTTCTTCTGAGCTCCGAGCCCATGTCCACCCGAGTTAACCGGAAGAGGAGCAGCTTCGGCACTTTGATTTTGATGTCTATGCAGCTGGTGACTCCGACCAACATATCATAATCTCCCAAACTCTCTATCTAAAGGAATCTGACGGATATGCGATCGTCGCGTATAGCTGCAGCTGTTCTCGCGCACGAGCTGGAATCGTGAACTGGGGCAAAAGCAATCTCAACAGCCACCTGCTAATGATTCAGTGACATCCGTGACATCAAAAGCCCTGCACTGATGCGCATGATATTGCAAAAAGACATGCAGTGAGAGAAAGAAGGAGTAGGAGCTATCAGCATTGTCATTGCCTACAAACGAGTGACAGCAAACGAGAAGATGCAGGCAGCCTTTTAGCAGGTCCGTGTCACGAGACTTCACGTGCGGGTCTTCTCCATCGCTACTTTCGTCGCTGCTCAGAAGATTATGGTGCACGAAAGATGCATTCTCCAGCTTCTGGCACTTCTTTGCACGTGCATCCGCCAGGCGTGCTGCACGCTCAGCAGCTGTTACACGAATGGCACCTGCGTAATGAGAAAAGCCTAAAGCAGATGTGCCAGAGGAATGCTCCAAGGCTATGCAAGAGCCGAGCAATGATGTCCGCCCTTGGTTCTCCTTTCCCAAACCACTTCCAGCCTTGTAGCCCATTTTTTCCATCATCCGCATTGCGTTGGAGCCGTAGGTTTCTTCTTGAAAATCCTTTTCAATCTCACCTTCCAGCTCAACATGCTCAGAACCGAGTCGCAGTCCAGCTGATTTGTCTTCGTTGCCTCCGCGTCGCACTTGCTTGTACCTGGCTGCGCTTGTCTCCACCAAACCGCCATCTCGACTGGCATAGAATGCTTTGGCTTCGTCTGGGCTTGACCACTGCTGATGCCTGAAAGTGCATGCAGCTCCCTTCTCACATTGCCCTCGCTGGAAGAAAGCACAAAATGGAACACCATTCGGATTGCTGTGCGAGAACGGGCAGGCGTCTTTATTACATCCTTTGGAGCTCCCGAAGAATTTGCAGGAGGATTCAATCGAGGAAGTCTGCTGCCGGTCACTGTATGATGCGTTGGCGGCTGTACTGCCATCTGTGGAGCCTTTTCCTTTGGACTTCCCGGTCTTGCCCTTGCCTTTGTCCCACTTCCCTGGAGGCGGCATTGAGTGGGACCTCACCGCTGGAGCCACCTACACTGGCTTCACTCTCAACTTTCCAATGGTTGCGAGTGCATTGATAAGCATAGTGTTCGGTCTAGAACTACACGTGCAAATTCTACTGTTTAAGGCTCCTACCTGTGCTGCCGTGCCTGCAGGAGCTGTCACTTCACAGGAAGCTTCAATGCACATCATTATGTGGAGGCATAATCAAAGTGCCTCTGTCCATCTGGCATGAAACAATGCAGGCCAGCACCTTGAAGGCGAGTGGTATCATTCACATGCTCACGCCGCTTCTGCACTCTGCGCAGTGCTTTGCAAGCAGCCCCACCTTGTCGTTGCAAGTTTCTTTTCAAGACGAAAGCACAGTGCGCTGCCAGTCACGTCTGTACTTGCTTCTAACACGTGTACTGACGAGATGCGAGCCTAGAAGTGTTCTGAATCAAATGCTCGAGGGTTGGAGATTAGTGGTGACCCGGCTAAGTACACAATGCGTCTTGCAGGCTCGTCTTACTGAGACTCTGTGCATCTTCCTCCATTCAGTTGTCAATCAGGCTCGCGGCTTGGCCCACTCCACCTTCATGATCAAGTTGTCGTAGCCATGGCCGTTCAAGCGATCAATGGCTCTCTGTGCATCTTCGCGGTTGTAGTACGTGATGAATGCAAAGCCTTTGGACTGATACGTCGTCATGTCCTTGGCCAGGAACACCCGCTGAAGGCGGCCACACTGGCCAAAGAGATCTTGCAAGTCTCCCTCCTTGACATCATCGGACAAGTTGAAGACTCGCAGGGTGGCATCCTGTTGTCCCGAATAATCGCCTCCCTTGCCCTTGCCCTTGCCCTTGGCACCATCGCCCTGCGCTCCACGTAGGCTCGGCGGCACATACTTGCCCGGTGCCCCAGATGCAAGAGTTGCTGCTGCTTCGGTGCTGTCCTTCTTCTCTTCCTCCCCAACACCTACCTGGTCCTTCATCTCCTTGTTGAGGTCTGTCCACACCTTCTTCTCCTTCAGCAAGCTCTCGGTAATGGTGAGACTCTCCTCAAAAAACTTCTCTTCTGCATCATCCTTCTGTGACAAGTCCACGTGGATCTTTTTGGCGGACTCTACCGGGATTTCCTCTACACTTCTCATGCACAACGTCTTTTCATCGGCCTCAGAGTTGGTGGCTGCCTTGCCAAACTTCTCTAAGGACTTCCGTGCTTGAATAGCATCATTTGTCCATTTTGTGGTCACAACCTCCTTGACCTTCTTTGTGATCTTGTACGTACCACCGTTCTTCTCGACGTACTCAACCACGCTCTTGATCCCGTCTTTGTCAGCCTGCGTTTCGAAGCGTCCCTGTGCTTCTTGCATGGTTGTCTCCTCCTCATCGTCAAAATCTGCCCACTTCCGTCCCCATCGTGTTGCGGACATATTGGCTTCTTTCAAAGTCTTCAAGCTCGAAGCTTCCCGGACAGCACCGATCAAAACGGATACTATTGTACCCTGCATTCGAGCCAAAAGGCGTGTATCAGGTGTGCATTGCAGCACGATCAACGAAGGCCTTGCCAAAAGTAGTGCAGTCTGTGGAGGCTACCGAAGCTCAACCACGGCAAACACATCAAACATGTCGAACCCCAGGTCGATGCCTTTTCTGGAAACATTGGTCTGAGAGATTCTCTGTGCGAGTAACGCCTCGCTTTGGAAGCCAGCGAAACTCATCCATGTACTCGGATCTTGTGGGCTGCTAAGGATTGGCTCATCATCACCATCTGGAGACAGATAACATGGTTTGGAACGCTTGTATGTGCAAGTTGTCTAGAGTCTAGATCCTGCACCTCATTTAAAATGAGAAGCTCCCACCCGGCAGTGCTTCTGGTAGCACCTGTGGCAAGATGAGACTAAGGCAAGTTTGCGTAAAAGTCAGGGCATTGTGAACACCTTATGTAACCCCATCAGAAATCTTTACGGTCTCATAACTCATATCTCTCCAGGGCGTTCACTTTGCGGTCTATTGCATGAAAGCCAGGTCGAGCCATGCGGGTCTCTTGAACAGTCCCTCGCCAACCTCAAACACTGCCACTGAAGCCTGAGTCTGAACGCGTTTAGACTTGTAGTACTGCACGGCGATTTCGCGTCAACTCTCTACATTGCTCTCTACCCCAGGCCAACCGACAGAACCCCGCTCCCACACCTTTTAAAACGAAACCGCTTGTGCAGTGCATTCAGGAAATCCGGTAGCAACTTGGGACACCCTGGATTGGGGATCTACGAAGCCGTGGCCTGACCGATATTCTATATTCTGAATGAGTCTCAGCTCAACCATCCTGTTCTGCACATTGCTACCGAAGGCAGGCACCAAACAAAGCCGGTCCTGCCACTCAGTTTCATAATCTTCTAGTCCGTCCATGTGCATACCGCGGCCATGTCAAGCCATGTAATGTCAATGTCACATCCTACACGGAACGTTGCAACGCCTGACGCTGAGTGGCGGCTGAACATCTGACGACAACTCTGCAAGTGACTCGAAGACCGCAACAAACACAGGCCTGTTCAGCTTTCACGTCGGCGGACAGCAAGATCATGAGATGGCCGTCGGTGGCCTGCAGCATGCAAAACTGGTACTTCCGCGTCCCTGCTAAGCTCGAGGACTCCATTGGTTACCAGCATCTGTCCAAGCCTCCGTCGATATACTTGTTGCCGACATACTTTCCATGCATCCAGATGGAAGGTGCAGCCGTCGAAGAAGTCAACTCTTGTAAATTCTTCTGGTGCACGTCATGTGGCACCTTGCGAAAAGCTACTCCGCTGGCGAGCAACATGTTTTCCGCTTCTTCACAAAACGGACAACCAGGTTTGGAAAACACGACAACATCGGCCGCCGTCGTGATGGCAGCTGTGGCTGCTAAATGCGAGGGGAGGTCGGCTGCGCAGGCCGTCTCCTGAGCTGAATTCCTGTCAGCGTCCCCACCACCTTGCAGCAGTAGAGTCGTGCTGCCAAGGAGTACGCCAAGCTGCACACCAACAAGACGGCCCAAAGTTGCCACGCGTTTGGTCTCCGGCATCTCCAGCTGCTCGGATGTTAAATTCGCAGTGGGCAGTCCAAGCCTTCCGGCGAACGATTCGATGGTCCCACCAAACAAGACCCCGCACGAATCGCTGCAGAACAATCCAATGGCTGCGGCTGTGATGGAAGAGATGCCAAGCCGCGCGCCCAGTACAGCATCCATGGTAGAACCAACTTGTGTCATCACGACACAGTCTACCACACCGAACCCAATCATCGGAACCGCGCTCTGCAGCGCATGAGCTCGCAGCTGTGCTCTGGACGGACTCTTTTGGGCTGAGTCTTGGGCAAGTCCTGACACATTTCGTTGCCAGGTTTTGGCAGCACTTGCCGCATGCCCCGCAACATGAGCAGACTTGTACAATTCTTGCACAATCCGTTTCATTGCTACGATAAGAGCTGCCCTTGGACCAGCAACTTGCAGTGCAATGCTACAGCATGTTGCAGCAAGTCAGGCCGCGAGGCAAACCTGCACACGAGCCGACATTCCTGGATTCGGTAGCCGTATTTTCACATGCGTGAAGGCTTCTTGCGCAACATTCCAACATGACCGGCGACTTCGCGCAAAATAGCTTGCCGACCATCCACAAAATCCTTTCAGCGCGCTGCTACCACCCATTTCCTGACAAACGCTACAGTACCTGAACCTAAAAAGCGTCTTCACCTTCTCAAAATGAAGGCTTGCAGAAACCTTAAAGCAATCAGACTCCAAGCACAAAGTGGCTGTAAATGCTCAGCTTCACCTCTTTTAAGCCCTAATCGTCCCAATCCCTACACCCTACACCTTACGTGGTTACCCAAACCCCGGCGTATCCAATGTTTTCACCTCTGCCTTCGGCAGCACCAACTGCTTTTGGGTCGCTGGACACATGATTCGGAGCACTCTTAGACTCATGTCCGTGCCATGCAACATCTCGCAGCAAGCAGCTTTTGGCCAATCTGCAGCCAAGCCGGCACTGTCGCGGCTCGCAGAAAATAGATGCAGAAGGCTACAAGAATGAAGCTCATGATAAGCAGGAATGCGGCAAGCCACTCTAAGGAGCGAGTTATCACCGCTGCTTCGAGAGCCCCACAGGCAGCAGTGCCCAGCAAAATCACAAAGGTGGTGATGAGGAAGCCGCCCAGACCCATCAGCAGCAGCTGAATATGGCCAGAGCTTACGCGACTGTCAAGCCCATGGGCCAAGTGCAGCAAGGTCGGCACGAGGAGGGGAACAACCATGCACGAGACGATGACGCTCTCAGCCAGGCCCAAGGTCCATGCCACAGGCCCTGGGGGCCAGTCCAGTACTTCAGGGCAAACCATGACAGATTCCAAATTGATGACCGAGAGGAAGATGGCTTGCGGCAGAAACGCTACAAAACATGTGCGCCAACTTAGGAATGTTTCGTCCCCGAGGTTCTCCATCAGAACTTCGCGTAGAGGGCCTCGGACATACTCATTGAAGGCATCTAAGCCATAGTCCGTCGGTGGATAGCTGGTGACGGAGCGTATGGCATTCTTCGTGTCCTCATCCAAAGGCATGTCCAATAACGGCCCTTCCTCCTCGGACACCCAATCTGCAACCTCCAACCAGCACAGGTTCGAGGTCCAGGGGATGGGCTAGGCGAAGGATTTGGGATTTTGTGGCTTTGAAGTGTTGGGAGGACGGGAGGACACGAGGACGCGCAGAAGCTCAGGAACGTAGTAAAGTCCGTAAACACAAGAAGAAATTGAAACTCGAGAAACAAGAACAGAAAATTCAAGAAACAGCAAGAGACAGTTCGGGAAACAGAAACGTAAAACAACAAAAGAACAACGTAGGAAACAACTCGGAAACAGAGATGTGAAAGATTCGGGAAACGTGGAACAGAAAATCAAGAATCGGTTTCTGCTTCTGCCATGAAGGACTTGGGAAACAATAGACGCGGTAACGCGAGAAACAACAGTCAGAAGAACTTCGGAAGAAGAACTTCGGATGCCTTCCACGCAACCCGAAACCCTCAACAAGACCCGAAACAGTCGACAGAAACCCTGAACCTGGAACAAACCCCCAAACCGTAAACCCTCAACCCCCCCCTCTCCAACCAAAACAACAAAAGGCTTGAACCCTAAACCCTCGACCCTGGTTTTTTTCGTCCTTGCTCAACATTACAAACGGACGAAGATTATGCTCAGACTCTTGACAGTCTTAACAGGATCTCACGACCCTACACTGGCCCAAAACTCGAAAGCCTGAACCCTAAACCTCACCTTGAACCCCAAATCCTTGGACTCAACATGACTCAACACTCTGCACTCGGACCCCATCTCCTATCTGATCCTATCTTGCCACGGAGAAGCCAGCTCAGGTTTTTTTGGCGTGGGAATGCCGATGTTCAGCTCAACCCAGCTTCAACACGTTTTCGGAATGAACGTGTTTGGAAGTACGGCTTCTAGGATTTAGGCTGAGGTCCGGGGGTTTAGGATTTTGGATGAAGGGTTTACGGTTTTGGCTTTCAGGTCTCTGCTTTAGGCCGTACTTTCTGCTAGATTCTGGTACTTCCTCTACGTTTTGCTAGTTTCTTGTTCCCTTTCTCTTTGGCATGTTTGCATGTCAGTTGCGTGGCTGTTACTGCTTCTTTCCATCTATGCACCCTGCAGTCCTGTGTGTTCTGGCTCTTGCAGCAATTTCTGAATGTGTTTCTGAACGAAATTTTTCTGACATTGCTCTTGACATGTTTCCTGTGCGTCTTGAATTGCATCGGTTTCCCAGAATTTCTGGCAGTGGTTCGTGAGTTCTGCGCTGTTTACCCGATTTCATCTGTGGTTCCTGAGTTTTCTGCGTCTTGTATCCGAATTGTCCGCCTCTGTTTCCTGATCTCGTTTTCAGTACTCCTGCATTGCTTCCGGAATTTAAAAACAACACTCGTGTTGGGAATTTCGTGTTCTTGGGTTTGAGGCTTTGGGGCTGGGCCTCTTGGTTGGTAGGGGTGACCGGCTTACACAATCAGTAACCTCCAGCGGTACGCTCAGCACCGGTTCATCCATGGCATCGAAGAGGTCGGCAACCAGTGCTTCCAGCAGACTTCTGTCCGACTCATCAGAGCAATGGCATTTGCGAACGTCAAAGGCTTCAAGCCGCTGCAGCATCCGATTGTGGCTCCATGCCTTGTCCAGAAGCGACCACATGGAGGGTGTGATCGCAAGAAAGTAGCCCGGAAGAATTATTTGGGACCAGCCAACAAAAGCGTTCAGAAAATGGTTCCATCCACGGTCAGTCGACATTGTCGTTGCCACAGCCGGCTGAGCAAAACAAATCAAGGTCAAATTAACGCAGACTTGTAAGGTATCCAGCAGCAGAGTTCTCAGCAACCATCGAGGCAGCCACAAAGGAGCAAAGTGGATCCACGAGGCACCACAGCTTCTTGCAAACAAAGCTAGCTCCGTCACACACCACAGACGTTCCAAGTAAATGTCGTCATAAAGTATGAGCAACTGCCGCGACTGCAGTACAAAGTATGGCAAGGCGCTGATCCCCTGTGCTTTCTGACCTGCATCAGATTGATCAATACAGAGCCTGTCCATCCACAACCGAGGCCCTGACAATCCACGTGGTCCGCATGTCAGATGCTGCCCCAAGAAGAGGACCGAAAAGAACACTGACAGCAGACCGCAGCCAAACATTGCTACGAGCCCGTTGCTGAGCGAGCTTGTGTGTCTGACGAAAACGACATCAGATGAGAGCAGCAGGGCAAACGCAAGAGCGCAGGCCTTCACAGCTTTGCCGGTGTTCAGCGTAAAGCACACAGCCAAGTATTTGGACCAGCCGTCGGATTCCCAAGAATGGCTCACAAACATGTCCACCTCGCCTCCCACTGGTACTTCCTCTGTGCAAGCGCTGACATCTGTTCCGACTGGCAGGTCTTTGTTGAAAACAGCCCCAAGGCCGCGTAGCACCTGAGAATCTGTCAAGACTCTGTGCTACAATCCTCGTAGAGGCAATGCCAGAATTGCCAGAATGTAAAGACAGGCTAGCTTTCCACCAGGAAATCCAAGATCCGATTCGTTGTCTTAAGATTCGTTGTCTTAAAACTTACACCATACGAATAGATTCACACACTCTCAATCCTAGAACCTAAACCATAGACTGGAAGTGAAACCATAGACGGGAAATGCATACTCCAAAAAAAAGGAAAACCTTTCCAGTCTAGGTCCCAGCTCACCTGAAAGCCGGACACCGATCGAAAAAGCCCTGGTTGCAAGGCAACCGAAGCCTTCTGCCGCACCCGCGCCACGCCCGCATGAGCCATGGCTCGCGAGAAAGGGTTTAGGTCGTGTAGGTTTTGCGCTTAATCAGAATTTACGGGGGGGTGTTACGGCTTGTGGCTTTGGAATTAGACGGTTCGACCCTCGTGAAAGCGAGAAAGCCAGGGATGTTCAGATCGCAACATTATCGAAAAAAGAATTTCGCTGAACCAAGGCTGAAAAAAAACATGCCGCGGGAAAGCGAATCGTTTCAATTTCAAGTGGGTCGATGAAATCAAACGTGGTGCCTCAGTAATGGGTGGCACTCCTGCTTCGCAGACGTCAGGATACGTCAGGTGCGCGTATCTCTTAGGCACAGATCCAGGTGACAGTACTGGTCAACCGGTGTTCATGCGCATGTCTCCCGCAATCTCCCGAATACCTGCCGCACCTCTACACTTGGCTGGATGCCGAGGCATCCCAAAACTCCGAAACCAAAGCACAGTACATGTCGGTAGATCCGTTGAAAGATGTGGTTTTGGAATTTGTAAGAAACCTGTATGGCAGGTGCCCGGCCTGAGGCAACTACCGGAAGGAGTTTGAAGAGGTTGTCACGCTTGGTTTGGCCAGCAAGGGGTATCAGTTCATTCGTGGGACCCGTGACGCGACAATGTACGCATGTTGCAAGACCGATGCCACGCTGTCGCACCATGTCGACGACACTCGTGTAAGGGTGTCAGACAAAGACCTCGACATGAAGAATGGTGGCATCGAAACGCCAGACACCAAAGTCAACGTCTTGGGCAAACAAAGTTGCGAACCCAACACACGTTCGTCACACTCCCTGACCCCAACCATCGCGAAAACGTGCCTACGTTGCTCGACCTCTGCCACGCAAAGCCACCGAGAGTCGCAGGTGAACGCGCGCACAGCGCACGGAGAGCAACACACAGCTGATCGACGAAGAACGTGCTGAGTTGTATGCAAAGTGTGCGGGCTCGTTGATACAAGATTATTCAAGCATTGACCGCAAAAAAACATCCGCTGCGAAACGAAAGAATTAGCACGTCACTGCGGGGTCACATGTCTCAATGTCGAAAGCAAAGCCTCCGGCGTTCTGACCATTGATGGTTTCACAGATTCGGCTTGGATTGGTTGCCCTGACACTCGTCGTTCCACTCATTGTGGCTTGATCATGCTTGATCCACGTCGCTGGCGCAGCAGCTCAGGGGAAGCCGAAGGCAGCATGGCCTGGGCAAGGGGTTGCAGGAACAGCTCGGTCTCGCGAAAATGAGTAGAGCAGGCACAAGTGACGGTTCACAGGAACAGCTCGCGCTTGCGTCGGTTTCTTTGTCGGAGCACCTGCCACTGACAACAATCCCGCCCAAATCAATGACAGAGTATTGAGAGGAACTTGCAAAAAAACGATCAGAGAAGGTGTGGGCCGAGAACGCAGCCTTGTCAGGAACCGCCGCATCACGATCCTAACCTATTTTTATTCAACACACCTTTTTGCAACAGCGTGAAGAAGATCCCGCGAGGTCCCTGTGCAACCTGCAGTCTACGGGGATAGAGGTTCCGCTCCTGGGCCGCGGGCACACGCGGGCGGTGGTTTTAGGAGTTGAGGCGTTGCGGCTGGAGTGCAGCTCGCCGTGCGGGCAAGCGACTGGCGAGCGGTGGGCAGTCTAGCCGGCGCTCGGCGAGCACGTCGCTGAGGTCAGGGAGAGGGCCATCGACGTTAGCAGTGCTGCGGAGGGGCAGCGACAACAGCGAGGCTGCAAAGGAGAGTTGGACGAACTGAATGGCTTCTGCACTCCAACGTCTTGCATCCTCAGGGCAATCACGACGAGGCGGCACCGCGGGGTGTGCAGGAGCTGGGTAGGTGCGTTTGCGCGTGGGTGCCGCCGCGGGCGGCGTCTTGCATCGAAGGCCGAAACGAGAGTAGTGTCGACGGCGAGATGGACTCCGCCCCAGAGGGGTAGCCCGTTGGCGATCACCTCTATCCGCCGGTTGTTGTGTCGCCGGGTGATGATGTTGAGATCACGGAGGAAGACATTGGCTGCGACTGTGGCTCCAGCTTCTCTGCAGATGCGCGCAGCTGCGCGTTCCGGCGGAATGCCTTGGCCGCGGAGGAGTCTCGCACGTGGGCAATCTGCACGGTGATCACCGATTTGGTCGCAATACAACCGCTGCAAAACTGAAATGGTTTGGTTCAACACACCAGGCTGCTTCAATCCAACCCACAAGGCATCTCAATGCACAGGCTTGACAGCTCATGACGAAACTATACGATTCTTTACGATGACCATGTATGCAGTAAGCAGATGTTCTTCAAACAGAAATGGCCGGTAGTCGGCCGCTACGGCGGCGCCGCGAAGAGGTCTCCCAACAACGGCTCAACGCCGTTGCTGGCATCGCAGGGCCGCAAAGGCAACTCCAGCAACCTCTGGGTTTGCGCTCGCAATGCGGCGAGCGGCTGTCCAGCGTCGCGTAAGCGCGGCCTTCCGCGGCCCGGCCTATATATGTTCACTGCCAGTTGCGAGTGGTTCTGCAAACTCACCGAGGTGGACAAGGGCTGTAGCACGGGCAGCCCTAATCTCCTCCACGTCATGCTCAGCGGTCCGGCGTTGCTGGTGCAGGGCTCCAGATGCCGGGTGACACGGAGTCGTTGCGGCCATGGCACGTGTTGGGTGAGGCAAGCAGGAGGACCTTCCAACCACGGATTCGGTTTTCGTTCAATGCTTGGTCCACAGCGAACTGCAGGCCAACCCGCAAAGCGTGCCGCACTGCTCTTAGGATCTTTGCAGCAACGGTTTGCAACGTGAAACCTTGGTGTCGCTCTCTAGTGCGGAGCAAGATATCCTTCGCCCATGCGCTCTTTGTTTTGGCTTGTGGCTCGCGCCATGCAGTCAACAAGCACCTGCGTACTTCTTTGCGTCCGTGTTTTTTCAGATGACCGGTACTACGGAAAGCATCGGAAAAGCGGCACAAGGCCCTCGGAGGCATCAACGAGCCCATGGTCGGCTGGAGGGCACATGGAGCTGTGAGCGTATGTCGGCAAAAACCTCGTGCAGCTCGGGCTCTTCCCCAGCGACATTGCGCGTGCAGCGCCCTGACTGGCGGCAAGCGTAGAGCAGCGTGGTAGGGTCCTGTAGGGTAGGCGCGAGTCGAGACGCTTTGCAGGGAGGAAAAACACACCTCATTCTTTGTACAGTGGAATAGAACATCAAAGAGCCAAGAAGCAGTGGCAATTGGAAACACAGCAGCGACAACAAACTCGACGAACAAATCTCTACACAAACAGCGTTCGAGCTCGATGATGGAAACAAATCCCGTTTCAGTTGTTACGAGTATTGGCGAAGTACCCTGCGAGGATGCAGAGTTTGCAGTACGCAATGCGATTGTGGACAGCGACGGTTTGCAAGAAGTCCAGCGGCCGCCAACCCGGCAGTCGTGTTTGCACAGATTGCCAGCCACGTGCGATGTTTTTTTCTCAGCACGGCCTTGCAGTGTATGCCGGCAGCGAAGCTCGAGGGCAGAGCCTTCCTCAGTCACTTTACGAGACCTGGGGGATGCACTCACGAGCAGCGCAAGAAAGAACTAGAAAGTCCAGAACGAGTGATGCATACTACAAGGGATGACTTATCCTACCGAGGATTTTGCAAGCTTGACTCGAGACGTATTCAAGCAAGAGGGCCCTTGCATGACTCGACCACATGAGGCGATGCAGGGGTGACGCCAAGACCGCTACAACATCCTGCAGATCATCAGAAACGAACACTTGCTGCACCCAGGCGTTGGACATCATAGAGATACACTGAAGGCCAGATTCCCAAGCATCTATGACTTCTTCGAAGATTGCAATGTGAAGGCATGTAATCACCCACAACATAGTAAAGCCAATCCTGCTCAGGATGTAAAGTATGAAAAGCCCAACCAAGATGTGCATACTGAGCATAAATGCACCGTAACCAGTCAACTTGTAAAGCAAGAGGTCGCCTGATGGAGGTGCTGCTGGCGCACCATGTCTGATTTACTGGCCCATGTTCGACGATCCTGAACCCAAAATTCAAGCTGTTGGACAGTGGGGCTACCCCGGGAAGAGTAGAGAGCCTGAGCAGTTTTGAGCAACCAATTAAAAGAGCTGCTCCACGGTGCATCGTTCTGCTGCTGGAGCGTGCGCGCCGTCATTGCTGTGAAAGCCACACTATGTTCCCCTTTTCTGAGTAGGTGACCCAGATAACACCACTTTCGCTTGACCCAAGAACTAACCCATCGCCATTTGTCATCACCAAGTACTGTGGAGCGAACGGCGCTCCATCGCACTCTGACCAGCGAGTACGCCACGTCTTGTGACAAGGAAGCTGGAAGGTACAACTTGAACGTTTGTATGCAATACAGGCACTGCCAAGTGTCGATCTGCTCTGTGTGTTTAATTAAAGGGAAAACGAGGGGGGCAAACCACAACCAGGTACTAACAACATACGTGCGCAACATATGCAAACCAGCTTTGATTGACTGCCAAGATAATCGCCGCAAGAACGGATACATCTTGTCATGAGCTCAATGTAGACATTGCTGGGCTTGCTTGATGGAGGATGCCGAGTGGTCATCATGCGCCAACCACTTGTTCAGGTACTGCAACCTTGTGGCCCACTTGAGTTGTCCGCGCACTGAGTGTTCCGGCTCGCCTTCCAGCAGGAAAGAGTGAGATGCCATCAGATGTGTCCTCTCGACATTGATCCAAGGTTCTGGAGTGCATCGCGCAACTGTCCATACATCGCATCCGCCACATGCCAGTCAGGCAGGCGAATGAGTATGTCATCAATATACAAGAGACCATATGTAGAATGAAGGGAGGGAGGCTTGGTTTGATGCCACTGCTGAAAGAGCCTCTGGATTTGCCTAGCCAGCACGCAACTGAAAATCGTTTTTTTAATCTAAGACCTGTGGGAACCCCCTGTACCCCAGATGTTTCGTCAACGCTCCACTGTTGACCCATGTAGCGGAACTCAAGGTGCGAGTGTTTCATGACCTGAAGCATTCGCAGGGCTTCCCACCGGCA